GTATATGGGAATTTTTGTAATATTTCTGCAACTTTTATGTAAGTTTAAAATTATTTCAAAATAAGATATATATTATTTGGGGCAGAGGGGGCGGGAGAGAGAGAGGTAGGTATAGATCTCAAGAAAATGAACCACATACATTGGTTTAATCACAGATATTCCAGCCAAATGAATTTTTAACTACTACTCCTTTTGAGATTTCTCCAGGAACAGCGTCATATGAACCGTGTGTGTGTGTGTGTGTGTGTGTGTGTGTGTGTGTGTGTGTGTGTAAAAATCAAATACATATGTAATATGTAGTGTTTGGTCAGGAAAATATAATGTTAAAATATATCCTGATAGGTAACAGCTGATTGGGCTGGGGGCTTCTACCTGAACAAGAAGGTTCTGGAAACAAGCTGGGAGATGCAATTCAATGAATGTGTCCTCAGCAAGTACTTAAATACAGAATGTCCTATGTTCTTGTGGCCAAAGGCCCATTACTGAAAAAATTCAGAATACAAAATAGAGTGAGGCGGAATTTAGGAGTTGTAAGATATCAGAAATCACAAAGCCCTAGTCCTTTATTTCAAACGGGAAGATTCTGAGACTAGAGTGGCTAAGGGGATTGCCTAGGTTCAATGCAATAACTTGAAAGATATAAATTTGTAGTTTTAGTGAAAACAAAGAAGCCATAGAGGAATAGGGCAAGCAGGTAGAAGCCACTGCGGAAAATAAAAATTAAACTTGGGGAAAAAAATTGAGCTACAACTTTATCTCGTACTAAAATACATTATCAGCTAGAAAGATTAAAGAATTAAGACTAAGAAAGAAAGCCATAAAGAATCTAGAAGAAAATTTAAGTGAAAGAGTTGTTTTTCATATCTTAGGATAGGAAAGGGCTTCTTCAGCATAAAAGCAAAAAGGCAAAACCCCACAAATTTAAAGTTAAACATTGAAAAATAAAACAATATGAAAAGCAAACAGCTGGGGAATTATCTGCAACAAATGTGACATATAAAGGAGCAACATCCTTAATGTCTGCAGATCAATAAACAATAACAAATCAATAAATAATAACATTAAACACTCCAGTAGAAAATTAGGCAAAGTAATTTAAGAAGAAGAAAACTAAATGGTCAATAAACATTTGAGAAAACACACAATATATTATAATTTAAAAAATGCAAATTAAGTATTAAAGGTTAAATGATGACGCTTTTTAATGCTGGCAAAAGTTGCAGAGACAGATACTCCCTTGCTCTGTTGGTAACAGGATTAGTACAATCTTTTTGATAGTAATTCGTCAATACACATCAAAATCCTGCAAAACATAAATATCCTTTGATTTGAAATAGCTAGTGGTTGTCAAAGTGTGGTCAATGGACTCCTGGAGTCCCTGAGACCCTCTCAGGGGTCTACAAGGTCAAAATTATCTTTATAGAAATAGTAAAATATGATTTGCCTTTTCCCCTATGTGACATTTGCAAAAACAATGGTGGGTAAAGTTGCCAGCTCCTGAGCACAAATCAAGGCCAGGCACAATTGTCTTAGGAGTCACTGTATTCTTCACAGCCACATACGTACAGGGAAAAAAACAAAAACCAGTTTCACTTAAGAATGTCTTAAGATTCAATTATTAATGTTATTAAATATCAATCCTTGAGTACACATCCTTTTAACGTTCTCTATGACACAATAAGAAGTAAACACAAAATACGTCTACTGTATATAGAAGTCTTATGGCTTCTCAGAGAAAAGCACTTGTATGACTGAGAGCTGACCTAGCCACTTTTTCCATGAAAACACCATTTTTACGTCAGTGAACAATGAACAAAGTATGATTATTCAGATTTGGGTATCTGGCAGACATTTTCTCAAAAATAAACAACATGAGCCTGTCACTTCAAGGAAAACAAGTGATAGTATTTGTTGCCAATGATAAAATTTGAGCTTTCAAGGGAAAATTCAAATATTGGAAAACTCTGTATCCATCACCATAAGCTTGACAGCTTCAAATCTTACAGACTTTTCCGATGAGATCAGTGGGGATATTAACAAACGTGATTTTTTTGATATTATATAATGAAAGGTGACAACATTTGGTAGATTTGCATAACTCACCACCAACATTTTGCAAGAGAACAAAGCATGATAATAAAAATCACACATAGGTAAAAGATCAGCTCAAACTTCAAGACAGGCCCATGGAGTGTAATATAATAGAGTGAAAAGGTCCGTGATATGGTTTCACATTCCACATAGCAATTAACCATTCAGAAAATCCCACTTGTTGGGTTTCATATAGTAACAAAATATACACAATTATATGAAAAGTCTATTAAATTACTCTTCCCTTTCCAACTACTTATTTGTCAGAGGCCAGAGTTTCTTCATATTCTTTAATCAAAACAACATATCACAAGTTGAATGCAGAAGCTGATATGTCCTCCTTCTATTAAGTCAGGCATCAAAAAAAAAATTTTACAAGTGTAAAACGAGGGCATTTTCTCATTACTTTTATGAAATGATGGTTATTAATCATGTTATGTTATACACATGTTATGTTAACAAAAACATTATCAAGTATTGGGTTTATTATTGCTATTTTAAAATAAATTAATAACTAAATTTAAATTTTTTTCAGTTTTAATTTATATTGTCGTAGATATCAACAGATATAACCCATATAAACAAACGTTCTTTGGGGCCCTCAGACTAAAAGTTTGAAAACTACTAATATGGTCATTCCCACCTTCTGGGAATCTAAACTAAGAAAATAAGCAGACTTGGCATAATACATATTAAAAAAATGTATCAGGAAATTAGAAAAGCAAAACTTTTAATGCTCAACAATAAGAACTGGATGGTACACCTAGAATGTGCTATTATTGGTTACTTGAAACAAATTGTGAAGAATTTTTGAAGATGAGGAACGCTCACAACATGTTAAGTGAGAAAATCCAGAGCTACAATGTATATTGGCAGAAACACTATCACACTGGGGAAAAAAAGACTAGAAGGAAATATATAGAATGTTAACAGAAATTTTGGGGGCTATAAGATTACAAATAATTTTTATGTTCTCTACTGAGCATATACTACTTTTAAAATCAGGAAAATTAAATTTTTTAGCTACTTTTTAAAACATTTCAGTACTTTGATTTTTTGTTTTAGACCTCACTGTATATGAATGCCACCAGAAAATAATTGCTGCTGTTATTATTAAAACTAATCAAGGTAGCTTAGTATAGAACTCTGAATTGAAAACTATGAAACCTGTATTCAAGACACTGTTTGGCCATTAAATATCTATGGGATTTTTGACAAATCTCTTAACCTCTTTGAACGATCAGAAATTATCTCTGAGGTCCTTACCCAACCAACTCTGATAAAATGAACTATTCAATCTAGATTTCTTCTTTTGCAGATTAGTAGTGCAACCTCTCTAAATAAAGTTTCCCACCTAAGAAGAGTTTGTTATTCCCTGAATGTTACTTGAGAGAAATGAAAAGTAGTTGGGCATATCATGAATAAGAAAAAAAAGGGGCATATGAAAATAATCAAGACAGCATGGTGCCCCAAACGAAGGAAGTCCTTTATAAGTGTACTTCATAAGTGCATCATAAGAGTATGGGGAGGTTGCCTCTTATGGAGAGGGCAAGATATTTGCTATGAAAAAGAAAGAAGGAGAGAAAGAGGAGAGGGAAAAAAAGAAAATAAAAAATACAGTGGTAATATAAATACATAATGAGAGCAGAATATCTAAAATGTATGCTCTATTTTAAAACTGGCCAGAAAAATCTACCTACCTTAGCTGCCCAGCCTTCACCCATTTCATTGCTCATTGGCAGAATTGGCAAGAGTTAAAGACAGAAAATTAAATTCCAATTTGTCAATTTGGTTCCTGGATAGCAAGTCTGATAAAAGTCTTAAGGGTATAAAGGGATAAATATTGCCTTAAATGAAATCCAGATGATACTAGAGAGATATCCCTTCATTTTACAGATTAGGAAAACTAAGTCCTTCAAAAAAAACCAAGATCATAAAAGACCTCCAACTTATGCTTCAATTTGTACTTCATTAATACCAATTATCCAATAATCTTTCTTCTCAAGAAAATACTTCTATGGAAATGTCTGTTAAAGGGTCACACATCAAAAACAGGGAAGTTCTCCATTAGAGGCTAAAGGTGTTCAGGGCCACAAAACAAAATGTATAAGTTTAAATTTGATTTTGAAACAGAAAGTAAACAAACATTCTAATCTTTTAACATGTCATAAACACAATAACCTTTTAGTCCTGGGTTGGTTCATTGTGCAATGTCTGGGCCTCAGTTTGCACATCCTTAAATGAGGTAATCTATAGTATACAGTTCCTAACGTCTTAAAAAAATTGGATAACCCTAAAATCACTGAAAAAAGACATGTTTGGGAGAGGAAGAAGTATGTAATACACCTGGAATGGGTATACATATGGTTGTGCAAATGGCCAATACTGACCCAAAACTGGAATCCCCAGGGTACCAGTCTCTGACTGCCTTGGGGACACTGGAGGTCACTTAATTGTACTAGAGAGCCAGAGTAGAACAGGAGGCCCCTTTACAACGGTGCTCCCTATTTGATTGTTTCCAGGAGCCAACTGAAAATGGTCCTCCATTTCCTCCTTCTGAATCTACAATTCATAGTTCCACTTTGAGAGGGCCCTGCCACCTATCATTCATTCCTAGTGTCTGACAATTAACCACTAGACATTTATGGAGCACCTACTAGATGCACCCATCACCTAGCACATACCAGGTTTTCAAGCTAACTTGATTTTAATTGCAAGGCCTTGGGCGGCTGCCTGGGGTTCATCCATCAAGAGTCTCCTGAGGAAGGTAGGTAAAAGAAACCTCTTTCTCCATTCTTGATCTCCTAGCACCTGACATGTGTGACACGTGGTTCCTAAGTCCTGGCTTGGCTGCCCGGGCACAGCTGCTGCAGGCAAAGGGCTGTCAGAGGGGAGAGATGGACACTTACCTGGGGAACCTCTGCTTCAGCTTCCTCAGGCTCTGCCTGGTGGGAGGCACAGACACTAGGCACTGGGCTATCTCGTCGTACTGGGCTTTAGTCAGTATCATGTTGGGCCAGAGTCTGGGAGGTGGCAGGGACAAGTAAAAAACACCCTGGGCTCGAGCAGCCTTGGTGCTGGGAGATGAGGGATGGGCACACAGCAGCACGGCGTTGGGCCCTCGACTTCCTTAGCTTGCCCCTATTGCCCGTCACCCTGAGCTGCACAGTGCGGGGTTCACCCGGCAGCTCCGGCAGAGGCACGGGGAGGGCTGTGGACCCGATCGCCTTGCCTGGGATTTCTGAGCAGCCGCAGTGGGCCCGGCCGAAGGCAACCAGCCGCCATATCAGTTAAGGGCAAACCAACCAGGAAGTAACGGCAGCGGGCAGAGGTGGCGCCTAAGTCTCACCGGGCAGGTATCGCGGTAGCGCCCACATGGGAGCAGCCTGGGATGCCCCAGGCGTTCGTACCCTCCCAGTTGCCAGAAGCCATGGAGTCCTGGGACACAGACCCGGCGTCAGGGCATCCTGGTGTCCCGCGATCCTTAAGCTTGAACCCCGGAAAGCCACTGCCAGGGCGCGCGATTTGAATACGCTTCCAAACGCGCCGGTTCTAATGCAGCTCCAACTGGGGATTGACCTACACAGAAAGTTCACGTTCTCCGAAGTCGCTCCGCGCTCTGCGAGCAGAGGCGGGGCGGGGATCGCTGTAGACACAGCACAGGCTCGTGAGACAACCGACCACCTCTGCAGCTTTCGTGAAAGTCAGCTTTGTCCATGTTGGGAAACAAACTAGAAAACAAATCCGACATCATCAGACAAATCCAAGTAAAGAATGTCACTCTCACTCCCCTCAAGGACTGAAATCATTTATTCGTCTTTGTATCCCAAGCTCTCAGAAAGTAGTAGGCGCTCAGTAAATGTTTGGGGAAATGAGTTAATGAATGAATGAATGTGTTTTTCCGTGGTGCCGTGAGCGGATCTCAGATCTCCTGAGGCAAGTTTTTTGGACGGCAGCCCCTTGAGTCCCTTTGTAAAAATCTATTTTGTTCTTAGAAGAAATACAACGCGCGTTGTATTTCTTTTCAGATTTTAACATTTTATGCAAATGAAAGGAAAAGTGTTTAGATGTTAGAGAATGTGTAAGTGGTTATTTATGTTTTTAAATAGGGAATAAGGTCTGGGTTGGAAGTTTAACTTAGATATGCCTCCTTGGATAAATTCCTTAATCCATCTAAGCCTCAGTTCCTTTGTCTGTAAAACTGATTTTTAATTAATGAGGTAGTTGTTAAGATTAAATAAGATAGTACAAGGATTCCTCAGCATAGTGTCCAGTAGATAGTCTATGTAAGATAAATAGCTTGTGTAAGGCTGCTTAATAATGATAGGCGCATGGACGTGGCATTTACCAGCTATTGTTTTACAGGCTCCCTACATTTTGACTCACTTAATCCTCATAACTTCCTGTGAAGCAGGTACTATTGCCATTATCACCTTCCTCCTCCCTTTGTACAGGGGACTATACTGAGGCATGAAAAGGTTAAGTAACTTCCCAGAGGTCATGAGAACAAGTAAGCAGCAGGCATAAAGTTTAAACTGCTGAAATTTGGTTCCAGAGCCTGTGCTTTTGCCAACTCTCAGTAATGCTTAATTACTCCACCAAATAGTCACACTCTCTTAGGCCAAAGGTTAAGGATTTTTTGAAAGGGAATAATCTACATTTCAAAGGATCTTTTAGTCCAGGTTTTTATAGAGCTCCACTACTTTATTTTCCCAGGCGTCTCAAAGTCCAGTAACAACAGTGGATCCTAAATTCAGAAACCATGGTGTTGTTTCCCCCTGAATATTTACATCAGAATGTTTTCTTGCCATATGCTTTGCATCTAGCTCTGGTTGTGTGACATTAGTACATAACTATTTATTTATGGCAGCGTGGCCTGGAGTTGCCACCTGGCTAGTTTGTTGCTGACCCTGCCATGACTTTTACATGAAAGCTAGCTGACGATAAGCAGACACCACTTGATCCCCCATTCCTTTATCCCTCCCACTTCACTCTTTCCAATTCACAGCCAACAGATTTTTATAGAAAACATCAGTTCAAGGATGTTTGCACTAGTTATTTTTTATAGTAACTCTTCTCTCTGGCTCTTGTCCTACATTCACCCTCACAACCCTTAAGGAAAAGGCCAAGTTTGTTTTTCTGTTTTTATTTTTAACATGCTGGCAGTTTACAATTTTGACCCAGGTCCAGTAGATTGTTTAAAGTTAGTGCCAGGGGAAAAGCACAGTTATGGTGTTGTTTTTGTTGGCAGTGACACTAGTGTTGTTTATTAAGCACAAAAGAGAAGCAAAGCAGAAATGTGGTGTTATTGTTGTTGTTTAGGTGTTTTTAAATTTTCTTTTCATGTGAAATGCTGGGAGTAAGCCAATTATTCCTTGCGGCACCCTTTCCCCCTCCCTTGCCCTCCTCTGTCCTGCCTCATCTCTTACGTCACACTCCATGTCCCTCATCTGCTATTACTCCTTCAAGAGTTGACTTTCCATGCCTGAAGTTCCCCCACTGTTTCTCAGTCAGTCAGTAATACCAGCCATTTCTCCACCGAGTGAAGTAGGGTCATGAAATGAAAACAATAACCAAACTGAAAACCCAAAGAACTGGCTCCCTGTTTAAAATCAGCCATAAACTGTGTGTCCTTGAACAGTGACAGCTTCTCTGATCCTAAATGTACTCAGTGTAACCCCAAGAAATGGAACTTTATAGTTCTGATAGGTAGAAAGAATCTACAAATATGAATATAGCATAAGAAATCATAGCAAGAAAATGTGTCAAAGTGGGGACTAGTGCAGCTCCCTAGAATATCGTACAGCCCTGAAAGGTGGACTGGAGTGAATCACTTGACCAGGTTTCTTTCTGCCAATTCCTGGACGACGTGAATGATGCAGAGCTTTACAGGAGTGGACGGTTTGGCAGAGAGGCGTCAGAAGGTCATTTCAAGAAGAGCGCTAAACACAAAGAACTAAAAATAAGAATGAGCCAAGTCACGCGCATGGGAAAGTTATTCTGGCTGGAGCAAAGAGTTCCAGGCAGAGAGAAAACGAGTTGAAGATGCTTGACCTTGGAAAGAGTCACATTTTAAAACAGTCTGTTGTTCACTGAATCAGCCCAATCCAATGCGTGTTTTTAAAAATAGTGACATATTATTTTTTATTATATTTTAAAGTCTGATTTTATTCATGGCATCTTGTTAAAGTTGGTTCATTGATTATTTTAAAGAAAAATGATTAAAGTTTGCTAACTGAATAAAGAAGGAGGGACTTCATATTACTTGAGCACCTATGATGTTCAAACATTATCCCACTAGCCCCTGATTTATAGGCTAGAAAACTGAGACTCAAAGAGAGTAAAAGGACTCGCCTGATGGATCCAGTTAAGTTGCAAAACCATGACCTGGATACAAGTTAGTCTGACAAGAAAGCCTCATTGCAGTGTACTATAATTCAAAAAGAAAAAAAAACGCTCTTTGGTTGAATTATCCTGAGTTAAGCACTTATGCTCTGAAATAACTGGCTACTTTTTTTGGCCACCACCAATGACTGTGGAAAAAGCATTCGACCTCTGATTTTGACATTTGCCAAAACACACTTTTGAAACAAGCTGTTTTGCCTCTTTGACTAGAAGAGATTACATGTTTTTCTCTTGGCCCTATGAAGCACCACCAAAAGTGACGCATCTTTTGAGACTAAAGTTTACATCTCCATACTTGCCATCCATGAGTAACAAGTCATTTTATCCTGGTCCCAAAATAATGCAAGTACTTAGTGAACAATAAAGAGCAGAAAAATTCACTTGTTGAGGCTTGCAGCAATTACTCAAATGAATGACTTAAGGAAAACAAAAGGAAACATACAGGATTTTCCACACTATGATGGTGGAGCAATTACACTAAATAGTCAGGGAAGACCTAAAGCCAAATGTGGTCACTTCATGCAAGTCAATGGTGAATGAACTCCTAGTCTGTCAAATCAGGTGGCCTGATGCCAGAGGGAGGTGACTTGCTGATGAGGTTATACACTGAAGGCCTGTTACAAACAAAAACTGGGTCCCACATGCACATAATTCAGAATGGCGTCTCCTCCAGTCTTTGTTAGTCAATAAACTAAGAGCCAATGTAATGGAGGACACTTACCAAGGGCAGGCACCACGTTAAGCACCTTAAATACATCTATCTTCCCTTAATTCTCAGATCCAGTGTCAAGAGGTAAGTGCTATTATTAAATCAATTTTTTTTCAAGTGAGAAACCTAAGGCTTAAAAGGTGGTTTCTATTTATCTCATAAATTATTTTACAACGTTTTAGAGTAGGGTTTGTCAAACTGTCTGTGTTGAGGGCCCAGTTTCCCCCCAAGTTGTCATGGACAAACATTTTTGTAAAATAAGATTAAAAAATGAATTACTCAAAAGTGAAATTTAAAAAGGCAGAGACATAAAATTCAAGCCCCTGATTTGTTGTTACGCAATTCAACAGATATACAATTACTCTTTTCAATTGATGGAAAAGGTTCTAAATGGTTATTCTCAATTTCTGCACTTGTCACATCAAGACATGTAATAAAATTTGAGGATCGGCACTGGATTGCCCATCACATTTTGAGTAGCATTTACTCACCCTTAGAAAGCCAACATCATAAGCCAGGTATGTGCAAAGCCTAGGAGAGCACATTTCCATGTATTCTAGTTAGAGGAGAAGTATAACCTGTTCATTTTCAACTTCTAAGTATCAACCATCATTATTATTACCATTCTACTGTATTTAGTTCTTCTCAAGTGATGCATATTTATTAAGATCAGCAGTGCAAATCCTTGCAGCCTTTTTCATTACGCACCCTATAAAGTTAACACCATGTGTTTTTATAGCATAAAACCCAATTTCTTCTTTATATCATAAACCCATCAGTCAGAGCTCATATACCACTTTTGTTCTGAATTACACACAGAACACTATTGGCACATGATAAAGGCTATTAATTGGCATTTACACATTTACTATTACAACATTTGACAAGGATAAGAAACAAAAGTAGTGTTTTTACAGGGACATTTTCTCTTGGGTGTTTTTGTGTTATAGCAAAGGGAGGCACGTGAACATGTTTGTTGAAGAAAGACTGAAGCCTCTTAAATTTTCTCCTCAGGCTCATCAGGGACTTGTGGATAATTTGCAGGCAATTTGTATCCCCTTTTCCTACAGGACTAAACCTCAGATGTAATTTCTGCAGTTGTCAATCACTCTTCTTGTCCCACAGACCATTCTGCAAGAATACATCATGTTCTGAGGGCTTTCTCACATTTATAAATTCAGGAATTTAAAGGAACTGTGCTGGTGGAGTATAGAGGGTTTCTACTTGCAGGGGTGTTGGGGGGTGGGATGAGAGACAGAGATTCAAGTCTGTCCTTAATAAGCACTTCTTTCAACATAAGCTAGAGTTGGAAGCACATGTCAGATGGAGATTAGCTCTAAGTCTCTTCATTTAAAAAATTACTCTCTTTTGCCATCCCACTGGGTTAGACTTTCAAAAGAGCAGGCAAGATGCCAGTCACGATTTATAACCCCTTTCCTCTCCATGATTCATAGAAGGAGGGTTAAGGGAAGGAGTTCCCTCAGAGATACGTATAGAGATTAT